ATGAAAATTTTAATAACTTTCATTTTTAATTTTACTTACTTATCATTTAATGTTTTGTTGAAAAGTTATAAAATGCTTTCTCAAATATTTCTCATTACTTTTAGAAATTCATTTTCATTTTATATGACCATTATAAATTGGATAATTTCAATGATTCATTAAAGCATTAATCATTTATTAATCGAAGTATATGTGCTATACATTTTAATCTTATCAGTTATTGATTATCAGTACCTATGTAGTTAATGAAAATAATATTTAAAGAAAAAAAAAGTGATTCTGCAGTATTTCAATAATCTGGTTTTAATATACAATTATAAACTATTAATCAATGATTATTAATCAATGACATTGGTATAAACATATCAGTATTATCAGTTGTTGATTATCAGTACTTATACAATTATGCCGATAGTAATATCCATTCAAAGAAACAGTTTGATTTTGATTCTGTAGTACTTCAAATAATTTGTTCGGTTGATATAATTGCTTTGCAACTTTTCAACTCTGACCAAGTTATATCAGTGATATTATGATATGTACATGTGATAAGAATGATAATTAATAGAATGGAAGAAACCAAAAAGAAAAAAAATTCATTTGCAGAAATTCAAAATGTTTTAATAAATTTAAATCTAAATTTCTTTTCGCGTTTTAGCGTTTTTTTTGTTAAATCTAAATTTCTTTTTTCATGCTAAATTTAACTGAATTTAGAAGGCTAATAAGTATGATATTTAACTTAAATAATAAATAATCGGATTTAATTTTTTAATTTACTTCAAAATTCTTTAGCAAAATATTAAAATACCACATGTTTATTGAATATTTTAAAGCATATTCCTAATATTGAAAACGAAAAATTGAAATACTATTAATTAAATGCTTTTGACACAAATTAATTAATTCTATTTCAAAAAATTAGGCCTTTTTTTAAAGTTTCAATATTTATTATATAATTTTGTAGTAACAAATTTAGTGAATAAATTCGAATTACATATACAATATTAATTGTTTCTGCGAATGCAAATAAACCAAATTTCCATTTATCCCTCAATATTTTCCCATATTTCACATCCATTTCTCAATATCAACCCTATTATAGCAAGGTAAGTTAATTAATTGCCTGTTTATGATTGCTTAAAACACCTGCTAGCTCATTCCAATAATATTTTATCAAAAAAAAAAAAAATAAAAAAAAATAAAAAAAAGTTTTTCATTTCTTTCCATAAATTCAATTATACATTCAAAAATTTCCTTCCATTTAATCATTCCATTTTGCTATAATCAATTTCACTAAATCAAATTATTATTGAGTGGGGGAAAAAAAAAAAACGAAATTGAAATGGAACTATAAATGCAAGAATAAAAAAAAGAAAAATCATTAAATACTGGGAAATAAATTGGTTAGCAACACAATTATTGCTATGAAATAAATGCTTAGAGTAATAAGTAGGAAACGAAAAAACATGAAGCGGGGGAGGGGGGGAGGGAATGGAGATCGGGGAAACGCGGGATGATATGGGAGGTAATAAGTAACGAGAAAACATGAAAGCGGGGGGGGTAGGGAGGGTAGGTAAATTTTGG